TTCATGCACACTTGTGGCGCCCTCTTTTTCTATTCTCATGAAACTCGGGTCTGAGTTATTAAGGCTTGTTCATGCACACTTGTGGCGCCCTCTTTTTCTATTCTCATGAAACTCGGGTCTGAGTTATTAAGGCTTGTTCATGCACACTTGTGGCGCCCTCTTTTTCTATTCTCATGAAACTCGGGTCTGAGTTATTAAGGCTTGTTCATGCACACTCGTGGCGCCCTCTTTTTCTATTCTCATGAAACTCGGGTCTGAGTTAGTAAGGCTTGTTCATGCACACTCGTGGCGCCCTCTTTTTCTGTTTTCAGGAAAACTCGGGTCTCCGAGTTAGAAAGGCTTTTTCATGCACACTCGTGGCACCCTCTTTTTCTCTTTTCTCATGGGTCTCCTTGTCTGCTCTCTCGTTCCCAGGCACCGTAGAGGAGCGAGGACTCGCAGAGTGGAGGAAGCAAATCGACAGCACAACCCCGAGCGACGCCACGACGAACGTCGACGGTGGCGCCACCGCGGGCGACGGTGGCGCCGCCGCCGACAGCAGCTACGACTTCCCGCTCTGCATGCCAGCGATCCGTCGCGCGAGACCGCTCAGGTTCGTTCCCGTCTGCCCGACGTTCTCACTCGACGGGCTCAGCTGCCGGCGGACACAGCCTGCCGAGGCCCAGAGCGTCTCCATGCTCGGGTCGGTCGCTACGGATACGACCGACATCACGAAGTTCTGAGACAGGGGGCGCTACGGAGGAGGCCGTTCGGAGGAATCTCAGCGAGCGAAGCACGGGTCGAGAGATCGCACGTAATTTTTCCGTCGCATTTGACGATTCTGGCGGATATTAACAGCGGTGAATAATGACAAATTTAGACAATTTGAAATTGAAATTGCAATCGAATTGCATTTGAATTGCATTCTGAAATTGACGATTTGTCATTATTCGCCCCCGATGTTAAGTTGCGATTGCTGGAAATGGATCCACCGTTTCACGTGTGGTCGTCTGACCCACGAAATATTCACATTGAGGTTTTATACACCTTGAGAGAATCCATTAGTGTGCCAGGGGACCGAACTCTCATAGTCTTTGGCGTGAGAGGTGGACGTGTTAGCCACTGGCTAACCACACAGAAGAGAGAATATCATTTTATGTCTTCTATATTTTATTCTACACACTATGTAATATATACATTTATAGTCCACACACTTATTACTAACATGCACATGTTCTCGTCTACCCCCGTGAATTGCGAAAGTATTTAATTGAAAATGCTCAATTTTAATTATGGGATGAGGGTGTTTTTTATTGTGTAGGAACATGGCAAATGTGATATTACATCATGCGGTCCACGAATAAATGTGCGCACAACGGAAAATCGGGTAAAAATTACATTTATTTTCCCAAGGGTAATTAAGTCGGGTAACAAAATATGTTCTTTGCAACAAAATTATTTTACGTTATATATACTATACATTTCCACTATATTCCACTTCACGAAGAATCTCTACTACATTGCACTTTATAGTTAGTGACATAATTTTATTTCCCCTCTAGAGAGTATTGGTATTATATGGGGATCCCATATAATCAACAAGCATAAATCCGAGCATTTTTTAAACCCGATTTAAGGTAGATAATAATATTCTGTTTGATCCCTGTGTATAAAGAGTGTTGACAGTGATCAATCTGATCATATTGTAGAGATGCTGTTGCTTCCCTTCAGCTAGCCCTCGATGATGCGAATGACATTGTCACAGGTTTTGAGCAGAGCTTGTGAACCGGTAGTGTTAGCAGACGCCGCTACTAGATTGCTGCCTTCCTCGCCGTGTTCTGCTATGCTCTGCAACACACACGTGCACACCCCTGAAGTACATGCATACGTCCAGACAGCAGTGTCAGTATGTGTTGACTAGCAATTAAACTGTATTAAGGCATGTGCCAGGTGTAAAATAGACCATATGAAGTAACCCATGTGTCTACTATACTCACTGGGTCGATGGGAATTCGGCCAAGAAACGCGAGGCCAAACTCCTCAGCCAGTCGTTCCCCTCCACCAGAGGAGAAGATTTCAGATACCTCCTGAAAACCAGCAATGAAATGAGGAAGCTAGCAATGTTTTTCAATGCAATGTGATTTGTCAGACGTGTTGAATGAAGGCCATGCAAATGAGCGGCAAATTATTGCTAGATTTGTTACTGCGACCTGCATGGTTCACTTTAGCTCTATAGGTTTACCTACTGGTTTTTTATGATGGGTAGCATTTCGCAACATTATACTTCCACGTTTTCAAATGCACTTCCGAAAGAACTACTTCTCTGCGTGTTATAGTATGTTTAATGATGTAAAATGAGCCACCTTGCTAATTATATTTTAACATTTATGTTTATCATTTATGTTCAATCCTGTTACTTTATATAGCTGCCTGCACTTTTACTTTGTATTTTTATGTGACCTTTACGTGTTTTTTAACATTCACATCACTATTAGTGGCAGGTATCAGGAAAGAAAAACGTACCGCAGTATTTGCAATATGCAGCATATCTTTTGTGTTGGACAAGATCTGAATCTAATAAGCAGACGAGTCAAAGTCAATGTTGTAACATTCCAAAACCATGTATCTAAGGCAATTGAAAGGTGACTTAATCGATATTCGACTAAAATCATGGGATCTAAAATAATATGATGACACATTGATACACCAAAAAAACTTTGTACCAATAACACAGTGTATCAATAAGTGTTATTTTTACTTTATATATTTTACACCACAAAAGGTAAATAAAATAAAACTGTGATTGTTATTATAATCAGCTTTTTAGAGTTATGTGTTAAGCAACACGATCATACATGCTCCAATTGGAATCTGTATCTTCACTCTGATATGTACCTGGTCAGAAACGGACACCTATGCTACCCAAGCGGGTCTTGCAAGCATTCACTTGGAATCATTCACACTATACAATATTTGTCGTGTATTGTTAGACGTGGCCACCCATCTACTGATAGTATGTGTTAATGTGAACCTAGGTTGAACCTATCTGTACACCTGTTTGAATATCTGTATACATCTGTTCGTTGTAGTAGTGAAAAACAATAAGTATGAAATTAAGAGCTGCATTGTTGGTCGTGCTATATACTCACCCCGCAGCAAGGACAAGCAAACGCACTCATGTTCTCGACAATACCGATGATGTTCACACGCATCTTACTGCAGAAATCTATTTCTTTTCGCACAGTTGCCAGGGCGACGGACTGCGGAGTTGTGACGATGATGGCGCCATCTGGCTTTGTATTTTGTAAGATTTTCACGACGGTAAGATGCTCATCGCTGGTACCCGGTGGGGTATCTGGGAAACGAGAATAATGAAAAATAATAATTAGGAGTTAGGTAGGAGAGTGTGTTTAAAACAATCGCAATCAAATTAGGTTAGGCACGTATATTTTGCATGTGCTTAAGCACCACCAACAACAGTTTTTCCATGCCACACTTATTTACTGCTCATTATAAAGCATTGCTTGAAAACCACCTTTAAATTATTCTATAATTTTAAAATATGACTTAGCTGAACAAGTGCCGCATAGCGACAGCGCTCATCTAACGTCTACTGCGGTGACTCTGTGGTGGGATTCTAGTAAACCCTGTTAGTCCCAAATGTGTTCACATACACGCCGAAACAGTGGAATGCACAGGGATGGTATCAGGAACCTTCTCAAAGGAATGTTCGTTGGGATCGTTATGAAAGTTGCCACGAGATGGCGCGTACGTTTAAGTGTCTTCAGATTAAAGATGGAAGCTCCCATCATATGTAGTAGCAACAACTATCTGCAAGACAGAATAGGTAAGCACTCATCCATTTACCTACGCAAGCCTACAGGCTGCGCAATAGAGAGCTGCCACCTGCAACCAATTAAGGCAAAAACTCCACAGTACCACAACACATGCACTGGCAGTAGCCACTGGCAGTGGCATACGTTACATGTAACATACTGACACTACAGAATGCCATATAAATTATACGATTTAAGGAGCATAAACCTTCTTTAACCAAATTTAGCTTTTGAAATTTCACTGTGACATTGTAGCCTCATACATCCAGGCATGTATAGATTCTACTAGCAAACCCGGCAGTCAAATTCTTTCTAACAGACAGTCAACAAATCCATGTTTAACCCTCCTCTTGAGGGTCAAAAGGTTATCAGACACTTACTCTTCGCACGTCAGTGGAAAGTAGATTTCATGGTCCTTTCAATAAAGCCATAAAAATGATAGGTCACCGCTGAAACAAAAAAGTTTTCCAATCGCTCCGTCAGACCATGTCCTCAGAAAATGTCTAAAATCTGCCCTGTGCTCCATTGACCTTTGACCTGTGACCTCCAATTTCGGCACAGTGATGGCTTTTCCTACCATGATGCTATACACCGACTATCACGAGCCTAGGTCGAGCCGTTTAGATTTGTGCCGCAATTCTGCATTTCCTCCCTATACCTTAAGTTAAGGAGTGAATGTTCCCCCTTCTTTTACACCTCTTGACCTTTGACCTTTGACCCCCAGCTTCGACATCCCAACTCGTTTTGACGATCCCCCCCAACGACCCGAATATCGTGACCGTACGTCGAGCGGTTAAGATTTGTGCCCAACTGTTGACGGACGACCGGACGGACGGACGGACGATCAAGCGATTCTACAAGCTGCATCTGACTATGTCAGATGAGCTAAAAATAGTAACAGCACAACATATTTAGCTATATATTACATGTATATTTATCAGTTGCTCGTAACTGTGCTACCTGTATTGCTTGTGCGATTGTGTGCTCGTGTGTGTTGCTTGTTCTGTGCCACTCTTACGACTGAGTGACGGCGGTAGGGAGATGTGATCATGCGATTCAAGGGCGAGTAATATACCAACCGATGATGAGGTAGTCCAACCTTCCCCAGAAGACGTCCTTCACGAATCTCTTTATGAGCGCGGTCTTTCGTGGACCTCGGAAAGCCAGCGAGTCCTCGCCACTGGCCAATAGCGAAGCCACCGAAATGACCTTGACTCCTGTGTGTGGCGAACTGCAACAGTACAACGATCCACTGAAATGACCTTGACTCCTGTGTGTGGCGAACTGCAACAGTACAACGATGCACCGATATGACCTTGACTCCTGTGTGTGGCGAACTGCAACAGTACAACGACGCTCACCGTATGTGCGAGAGTGAGAGTACGAGTGAGTGTACGCCCTAGTGAAACGCACGAATCAATAGGTACCGTGCCGATAGACAGGTTACGCAGGACTGTGAAATGCAGGGAAGGAGAATTTAAGGGGAGAGAAGGGAAGGCAAGGGGAGGTGCCTACCTCATTTCTACAAGCTATGGTATATAAGTATAAGTATAAGTATATGGTTGGATAGATTGGTGAGGTCGCTTTCAGATAGATGGACTCGCGCACGCACGAACAAACAAAACGTATGGATTTTAGAACGTAAGCATAAATAGCATGCTTAGTTTCAATGCAAGAAGGTACTTACACCACAGGTTTCCAACCCCACTCTGTGTTCATCACTGCCTCACCATCCACACCCATAAGTTGAGCTTGGCTGGGTCCACATATATCCAGATCCAGTAAGCCGACCTAAGAGGCAAGCGTACCTTCAAATTTTACGGCAATCAAATTCATTCTCCACCTTTGCAGCCATACTTTTTTTTATGAATTTGTTGTTCATCGCCTACATCAAAAATGACGCCCAGGCCATAATAAAAATATTATTTGTTTGCCCTCGCCCGAACGACCCGCTAAAAAGGGGCCGACTCAAAACATTTTACATATTTTTTTTACCGTACATTATATAAATCTGTAGGCAATACATTATATGTACCAAGCAAAACAAACATTCAACATAAAAGGTATCTCCACACAAGCACACCCGAGCATGTAGACACCATGCTGAATTTGTAAAGACCCCTTCAAAAAAAACCTAACTACCTACCCAAACTTTTCAGCCTGGGTCGGGCGAGGGCATACAAAGATTTTTTAATTGTGGCCCCAGTGACAGTTCTTATTCACCTGCCTATCTTACACCTTTTTTCCTTTTGTTGATAATCCATTGCTGAGGGCTGCAGCCATAGAACTCTTTCCAACACCTCCTTTTCCCGACACCACGAGAATTTTGTGCTTGATTGCATTCATGCGGAGGTCAATGGCAGGCTGATCTGGATCCAACGAACCTGTGGATGAGTTAACAATGCTTATAGCACAGGTAGAATTTCCACAATTTCTACCATGTACATACTGCCTTATAGGAGAGATGCCCCTCTTATACTAATAAGGCAAGTAGTGCCACCTACTGGAAAAGATTAGGATCAAAGCTGTTTAAGCTTTTCCTGCTTTTGAAAGAGATAGTGATGGATGGAAATTAGACCAATAAAATTAGGTCAGAGGCTACTGATAGAAATAAACGATGATTTCCCATATTTTCGTACACTAAACATGAAGATATATTTATGTTTATACCTTGGGACAAACATAGTTCCCTACCCGGGCAGCTTTCGCACACATTCGCTCTTCCTGCAGCAGCCTGAAACACGGGTAATAGTTCAGTGTAAGAACCACCATATCTTCTATTATATATTTGTCTTTCAGGAACAGCAAAACACATACATCCAAACAGGCTGGCTTTTGTGTGTGCATTTTCAGGGCGATCTACTTAATATAGATAATAACAGGGTTCTGCTCAGAATATCTGGAAGGCATGTCGAGGAATTGGAGAATTCATCCCATATAATATTATTGCTAATTCGATTCAATTACACATTTCGCAAGGCAAGCATCCATACTATCAGAAGTAGATAATAGGGGAATTCCCTATTATCTACTTCTGATACTATACACGTTCAGGGTTCTGCCCAGGATTTTTTAGTGCCGGGCGCATGCAGTTGCGACTTTGCAAGCGCCGTTGGCGCGAATCTAGGGGGGTCCAGGGGTATGCCCCCCCTGAAAATGTTTGATTTTTGATAGTCTGAAACTCAATTTCCTGCATTCTGAGCAATAAAAAGCCCATATATCACTTTTTTTTCGTTTCTTTTTATTATATATCAAAAATTAGTGCCGGGCAAAGATATATAGTGCCGGGCACACCCGCCCACCGCCGCCCACCGTGGGCAGAACCCTGACGTTAACTCAATCAGTTTGGATATATGTATATATGACTATGTTGGCACTATAAAAATTAACACAGCTGGAAAGCATGCCAATTAGGTAATTAAGGCATGTCAATGGATATATGGTATGTCACAAGTTAGCATCAGCTTTGAAGGCATGTTGGACCCGACATATGTTAATGACATATATGTTAATGACTTGCGGAGAACCCTGGGTAAAAATTATGTGCCATCATAGTTTGGGACAGAGGTATTAATATTATTACCGTATAAATAGTTCAAATATGTGCTAAACTAATCCGGGGTGCTTATACAAGGATTAGGCAAAAAATTAAAGTAAGGCATACTAAAGAAATCAAGCATAGCAACAATCAATAAATATAAATGTAAACGCAAATTACAAGCACAACTTTAATTCTGCATACCGAGTCCGCCGGACAGCCTTCAAGAATGCTTGTGACATTGTCACTGTCAGCAGACGTGGCAACTTTACTCGTAATTATATCCATGCGTTTACAAACACGACAAGCTGACTCAGTGACAGTGTTTTTGATATAAAGTCACTACAACCATCTATCGCCACAGCATATTTATGATATTGTATCGTGACCCAAGCGGCCACACGCACACTGTGCCAGCATTCGCTGCACAGCCCAAAATGGTTACTGGTATGGAATAGTTCAAAGTCGGTGGTACTGGTAGTAGTACTACTAGTACTACTACTAGAGTAGATATAATAGTGTCAGTGTGTCACTGTGTCACACATTTGCTGTGCCTGTGTCACAGTGGGTCAGTGTGTGTTCAGATGCTAACGACATGGAATATTCTCTCTTCAAATTTGATGTTTTTTTCTACTGCGATAAGCAGTGATGATTTGGCTACTTCAGTATTTGATCAATTTAATTTTGTCTCCTAATTCCGTCTTCGATACTTGGACTTTGAAGACTAATATTTATGAGGTTATGATGTTATTGACGATATGGCATGAATTCAACAACTGGAGGCTGACATCTTGGGGTTAAAGATCACTCTTCTCTTCCGCCGTTTCCGTAAACCGGTTTTCATCGTTTTAGTCGTCATCATCACCGTCATCGCTGTTTTAAAAAACCGCACGCATACAAAGAAATTATTAAAGGAACAACAAATCAAATAATAAAAAATATATATTTTACACATAAGAAGTTTTTCACTAATCTACAACTGCTTATTTTGTTTAATTTTTTTGAGAATTATTTTTTGAAGTGGACTTTTGCGCATGTTTTTGGCTTTTGATGTGATTTGTGTATGCAGCGCCACGAAATTCCTAAGCGCGAATGGGAAATGATTTACCATAACCTGACCTTGCTGTAGCGCGCGCATGCGGGAGATAACAACAAGTTGAAGTTGAACACGGCAGAATAGAAAAGAAAACAGGTATTTTTTACGATGATTAGTTAATATTGTTACGTTTGTGAAAGATACGTTTGAAAAGAGTGAGCACCAGATCCAGGCTGACACAACTAGGCTAGGGATTCAAGCACCATGTAATCACAAACATCACACTTAGTTATCACACTGAGCCTGAGGACAGTGAGGTAGGCCCTACAGGCTACATCCTTAGGCTTAGGCGCAATCATACTCATAGTTTCAAGTTAGTTTGGGCCTAATTGGCCCTTTTACATGATCTCATTTTCGAAAGTGTGTGTGTAGAGACATGAAAATCCACAATTCCTGGTCTTACCTATTCATATGTTTCAATAAAAAAAGTTGCACAAATAATTATACAATCACAAACACAGAACATATTTACACATACTCTGCCAGTGCATGGTTCCCAGTGAGCTCACAATTACCTCGCTGGGAACCCGTTCCGTGGTAACCGGTGCCACCGTCACACATACTAATTTACTATCAGTATCATAGACATAGGTAGCTCTAGTACTATAGCCCGCAGGATCGCTGCCGCTGGCGTTAATGTAAGCGGGCTATAGTACTAGAGCTAAGACATAGGCATTGCCATTGACATCGTCACCCGCACTCGAAATTCTCAAGAAAGACGATGTCAAATGTTTTCTAAGTAAGACGATGGAAAGACCTGCCTGAACAGAAAGCAAGAACGTCACATGGGCTGATCGGTTTAGAGAGCTCCTCATAATTAAATGTAATGCTAATAGGCATTACTTCGGTGCCTTTTTGCAGACATGCGGCGCCATCATCATTATTAGATCTAGCATTTCGGTGGAAAACCTGCACGCGTATAATATCCATCCATCTCGCCGCGATTCCAACATCGTCATGTACAGCGGACCCTGGGACTGGGAGATCGTCGAGACGCCGGCGGCGACCGACGAGGTCAGAGGTCAGCAGAGCGCCGACTTGCAGGCTGTCTCGTCCAACCTCGATGCTCTCTCCGCCGCCCACACGGGGGCGCCGGCGTGCGCGGACGGCATCGTGACGTCGCACTGGCGGAGTAAGTCGTCGCGGGAGCGCTGCGCGGGATGCGGTCGCACCCTCGGCGCAGTCATGCGGCGGCTCTCCGCGCGACGCTGCCGCCGCTGCGGCGACGTCTTCTGCCGACCGTGCACGGACTACGTCCGCCGCCTATCCTACCTCGCGCGCCCTGACCCCGGCGGACGCCCGCACCGCGTCTGCCGCAGCTGCTACGACGAGCCCGAGCCACAGCCAGAGGGAGCCACCCGGCGGTGGATGCTCACGTTCACGCATCTCCGACGGGAGGCGAGAGGCGGAGCTTCCGCGCGCCGCCTGGTGGTCGATTTCGACGGCGAAGTGGAGCGGCTGCGGGACGGGTTCAGACGCAGTCTGAAGATGGCGCCGGTATCGTCACGATGGTTCGGCGCCGCCGCCGCGCCGCCGTACTGGCAGCGGCCGCGCGACCGCATCCCGCCGCCGGATGCCGGCACCACCTGTGAGGTCTGCGGGGTGGCGTTCGGGCTGGTGTTGCGTCGGCGACGCGACTGCAGCGTATGCGGGCGCGGCGCATGCGCACGCTGCTCGACCCAAGATGGCGTCCTCGTCTACGTCCCCGCCGAGCAGTCGCCGCACGACGACCCGACCTTCGACGTCCTGCTCGCCGTCGTTGGCGTCGCCGGCTGCCCCGAGGTGGCGTCACCGTGCCGCACGTACCTCCCCGCGTGCGACGCCTGCCGGAAGGCGCTCGGGGACGGGCAAGCGCGGGATCACTCCGCGACGTGGGAGGGAGGAGTCCCGGACGTCTCGACGGAGACGCGGCGGATCTACGCGCGGGCGATGGAGATCCGCGAGAAGATCGACCGCCAGCTGCCGACGTTCTGCGAACTCGCCGACGCGCTCGACGTGTCGCCCCCTGCTGGCAGCGATGTGCGGCAGCTCGCAAAGGCGCAGCTCGACGTGGCGCCCCCTGCCGGCGGCGACGTGCGGCGGCTCGCGAAGGTGCAGATCGACGTGTCGCCCCCTGCTGGCGGCGACGTGCGACGGCTCGCGAAGCCGCAGCTAGACGTGGCGCCCCCTGCCGGCGGCAACGTGCGGCGGCTCGCGAAGGTGCAGATTGACGTCGCGGAGCTCTTTGCGTCGTTCGTCGGCGTCGTGTCGGGCGCGAGGGCGCTACTTGTCGCCGCGTCGCCGGCGCAAACGTCTGTGCTGCGCAACCTCTCGCGCGGACAGCTCGAGGAGTACCGCGCGCGCGTCGCCGCGTTCCGACGCGCACGGCGCCACCTGGAGGAGCGCGCGCCGGCGGGGGCGCTGCGAGCGGTGCAGGGGGCGGTGGAACGAGAGGCGATCGGGGCCGCGCACGTCTCCGTGAAACAGCTCGCGTACGAAGCCCTTCTCCTCGCCGACCGACACGCCCTCGCCGCCTCCCTTGCCGGCGCCCTCGTGCGGGCAGAAGCGGCAATTGCGGACGACCTGCGTGCCTGCGTCGCGGCCGAGGCGGACGCGCACATGGCCGACGCCGAGCGGTTGCTACGGGAACAGCTGCGGGAGCACCGGCTCGTGCGGTTGCCGCGGGGAGCCGGGCGCGACGTTGCCGCGGCGACGGTGCTCGCTCGATGCGCTGTGCTGACGGCGCAGGTGGAGACGCAGCTGGAAGCAAAGTGCGTGGAGACGAGATTCCCTGGCTCGAGGGAGGCGCTGAAGAAATGTGGCGAGGCGATCAGGAGGATTGCGCCCGAGGACTTGCTAAAGGGCCCGTCGTCATGACGACGAATACTCTTATGATGCTGTCGCTGTCGTATAGCACCCATGTGAGAGAAAGAACCCTGTCTCAATCACTATGTGGGAGACGGATAGATAGAGTGACTGATGGGGAGAGGAGAGGGGGAGAGACTCGTGTTGAATCTGAATTGAGCCTAGAAAATAGTTTTATAGGTGATATCAGGATCTTTTACAAACATTTAGCCCATTTTTCTTAAATAGAATTATGTACATACTTTTGTAAATCAGAATAATGAGTATAAAATTTTTAATGTTGTAATGAGAAAAAGAATATACTATAATAAATATTTACGTATTACTTACTTTGTCACTACATTTTTTGTTGAGCAATTATTAATTTATTATTAACTTAATTTGCCACAATTTTTATTATATTATACATTTTACATCACAGTACACGTTATGAAAGTGCACCACTGCTCCAAGGTTAACACTAATAATATATCAATACTAGTAATGATAGAGTTTGTCTTACAGCTGCTATTGTATCTAAATTGCGGATTCTACATAGTAGCAGTAGTGCAAACATTGAGCTGAACTATGATATGCACACAATGCTTAGTTATTTGTCACTCATTATGTGGAAATTAAACAAGGTGTAACCTTTGAAATAACCTTTATAGTTCGTATTACTGTTCAGCTTCTACATATTTAAAGCAGTAGTGCAAAAATTGAACTGAACTATGATATGCACACATTGCTTGGTTATTTGTCACTCATCACATGGAAATTAAATGAGGAACATTTCTATACATACATGTAGCCGAGTTTCAGTATACCATTTTCAGAGCTGAGTAAATATTGACTGTGCCTTTAGATCTAGTGTCACTGTGACACAACGTTGTTGATTGTTTACTTACTGTGATAACTGATTCCAGGTGGTAGATTTCCCCTACGATGGCACCAGCAAGGAGGCTGAGGAAGAGGAGGAATCCTGAAGAGAAGCCAGCTGATGGAAATCGAGGAGAAGATGCTGCTGTTGCTGCCTCACCACAGGAGGTCATCTCGAAGCGAAAGAGGAAGGTCACACGAAAAAGAGAAGAGGAGGAGGAGGCTGGGGCGAAGACTCCAGCAGACAGCATAGCAGGTGAGCACAGTGAAGTTATAACACATCCAAACACTAGCGTACGTGTTCATTCGTGAGGGTCAATAATAAATTGTCTCTTAGTCATTTAGTTAAAAGTTAGTCAAAGTCGTTTAGTTACTAGTCAAAAGTCACGATGTTAATTCGCGTGAGATTTTTAGTTTTGCAGTAGACTCCTGTTCATGCATACATGCTTGCAATACTCTTGCACAGGTAGGACCAGCCTCGCAAGCAAGGTTGCAGCTAAAAAAAGGAAGACGGAGGAGATTTCCCTCAGCCTTCCCTGCACGGCGAGGCAGAAGAAAGAGACGCTGCGAAAGGAAGCCAGTCCTGCGCCGTCCACGGGAGAGGGTGCACCACTGGTCAAACCTCACCGGCCACTCACGTCTCCAGCTGCAAAGCTCGCAGAGAAGGTGAAGACAGCTCGAACGAAGAGGGCGCCACTGGAGGGCAGGGCGAGCAATGGCCGCTCGGTGTCGCCGAGCAGGAAGAAACAAACGCGCGTGCTCAAGGCAAGCAAATCGACATCGAAACCTCGCGACGAATCCGATTGCGAGGTCACGGAGCCGACCCCGCGCGCGACGACCGCGTCTCGCCGCAAGCTGCCGCCAGAGGGCGCCGCGAGAAAACCTCGGGGAAGATTGAGCACTAAAGTCAGAGCTGACGGTGACAGCCAGCGAGAGAACCCGCAGGCCGTGAGCTTGAGTGTGATGTTGAAAGAGGAGCCATCAGTGAAGTATGGAGGAGGAGGAAAAGGAGGAGGAGGAGGAGGAGATGCGGATGGAGTGTCGCCACAGGCCGGTCCATCTGGGAAAGAAAGCCCAAAGAAAGAAAGCCCAAAGAAAACATTGAAGGGAGAGATGATGAGTAGCGAGAGTAGCGAATCGGAATGGGAGGAGGTACAAGGTAATGCAAGAGAACAACGAGATATTACATAAAACGCTGTTATTTGCACTGCTTCTTGTCATCACATCACAGGTAATGTAAATAGCAGGTAAATTATAATAATAATAATATCTGTTTATGATATTGTTAGTCCTGCTAACAACATATGCAGATCGAGCTTCTTATAGCACATATGATAATAAACCTATATTTGATAATAGTTTGATGTTCCCCATTCCCGGTTGTCACTGTGGTAGCGCTATAGATTTCTCTCGTGTGTTGCCAGACTTCAGCCATCCACCGCTGCCTCCTCCGCTCGTGAAACCCGCCGTGCAGCATGATATAAAGATCACTGTGAAGACCGAGGCAGATAAGAAGTAAGTTTCCTGCTGACGTTTCTGCGAGTGTTTCCGATAGTGAGAAGGATGTATGATGCGTTTATCTTTTATCTGTTATCTTATATATGAGGAATATGTGAGAAACACGATTAGATTATGTGAATTGCTAACATCGTGCTCTCAGTGGTGGTGTAGAAAAGATTTGCTGTTTTTTTGCGATAATTGGCAATATTCTTCTGCTTGCAGGAAGAAAGACAAATATAGTGCGGAGAGTTACTTCAAGAGCCTGTGGAACAAACTCAGTAAAGATGTCCGAACAAGTCTGCACCAGGTATAGCTCAATACGCATAATCGATTCGAAAGGCACATTCTTCCTATATATCACATATAAAAGTCGAAATATGTTGCTGAGAAGATTGTAAAGAATTCTGCATCGAGTTAGCACGATCCACCACATCTACATCCACTTAGGTGTTATTGTATCTAGATTAGGAAGTTGAAGCTTGTGTGAGGTGATTTAGAATCAAGTATCCCACAGCCATCACGAGTAAGCCATCGCGAGGAACTAGTTGCAGAATACGAGAATGTGTTGACAGAGAAGAGTGACATCAGGGTAATAAGGGAGTGGCTTCGGTAATAGCATCTTGGAATGGGAGTGGTTGGATATTCGAAGTGTAGTGTCGGCTGTCCAGGCCTCTTCTTCACACATGCCACTATAATAGCAACACACCTGGGTCACCCGTTGTCGTGTTTTCACCTGCCAGGTACACCTGCTCTGCTACCTGTCTCATGGTCTGCACTGCAGCAGTGTCTGCAACAGCGAGGAGCTACAGGCCGTGGCACTGTCGCTGCTGCCCGCGCGCTACACGGTCGCCGCGGCAACGGCGATCGATCGTGCCGTGCTCACTGCGCTCATCAACTGGTTTAAGTCGTTCGTCGTCGTGGAGACGGACGACGTTCCTTATGCATCATCCCTCTCCACCTTACACACCATCCCACCACTACCCACCCTACCCCTATACCACCCCTACACCCCACCAACCCTACCAACCACTACCCCTACACCCCACCAACCCTACCAACCACTACCCCTACACCCCAGCAACCCTACCAACCCCTACACCCCAGCAACCCTACCCACCTACCCCTACACCCCAGCAACCCTACCCACCCTACCCCACCACCCCACGCCGACCACTACCCCATAACAACCATATCCCCCCCCCCCACACACACACACACCACCCCTCCTCACCAGTGATTGGTCACTCGTCATCGTCAGCGCCGCGGCCGAGTTGACATGGAATGTGGGTTAGAGTGGGATAGGATCGGGTGGGGTGATATGGTGGGTGCGGATATAGAATGATGATGTAGGTTGGATACAGGATGACGGTCATGATGTAGGCAGGTTGTGCATTGGTAATCGGGTAAGGGGGATGGGTATCCCATGTGGTTGAGACATGGGGTAAGGACATATCGAGGATTATTCCGCACAGGGGGTGGTTTGCGGGTAGAACCACTGATTTCACGTGATGTCATCACTTGCATGTGTGTGTGTAGTTTCAGCGGATGAGTGACTGTCTAGCAACCAGGCGCGTGCCGTCGTCGCGGGAATACATCCCCCTGTTCGCCATCTTTCTGCGCAGTCTCTCTGTTCTCACGAGACTCGTTTATAACCTGCAGCCGACATCACTGAAGCCTGAATCGCAGGTATTCTACAAGCAGCAGCAGCAGCAGCTGCCTCGTGTCTCTGTGGGTGGTGATATGCTTGGGAAAATGACCTGCGCAATTCGGGTTAATTCTGTAATTGTTGGTGGGTTTATTCGATAATGGTAGTAGTAGTTAATGTTGTTCGGAGTAACAGCACCTTATTACGAAATATAAAGTGTCATTTTATCATCGTAATTTTTTACATTAGTAGTTACTGTATGCTGTTATTTAAAATCTGGCCCTTTGCTCTCTACTTAAGGTACTGTACATGAGTTTGTGTAGGCCTACCTGTGTCTTAAAGGTAAACGTTACTTTGTAAGTGCAATAGATTAGTAAGAATTTGACCAATTTTGCCAGTGGATCGTGGTTTCGTAGTGGATCAGCGCCCGCGTGTAGTATTTATGATCCACTGTATTTCACGTTGAAGGCAAAGGTGTATAAGAAGCAACCGGTGAAGAAATCAGTGAAAGGTGGAGGAAAGCAGACGAAGAGGAGGTCGCGGGGTCAACGTCACACGATGCGCAGAAGACGCGCAGCAACGAATCCTGAGTTCACCGATTCCGACGAAGAGACGTTCCGAGATCCGAAGCAGGAGACAGACGAACGCGTAGTTCGCAAGATGCGAAAGATCGACCGAACTGAGGTTTCCACGCCAGGTGGCAGCAGGAAGTCAACGAGAACGCGACCTACGCCAACTAACTATAAGGTCGGCGTTTCAAGCAGTGATGACGGCGATGGTGACGATAGTAACGTCTCTGATGATATGGATAAGGTGGATCAGAGCCCAGAAAAGAAGTTGCAGCAGTTCAGGAGAGAATCTCTAAAAGAAAAGAAGGCAAGGCAGACCGCTCGGAAGAAAAAGCAAGAACAATTGAGGTAGCAGTTAATAAACAAGCATCACTCACACAAGTGCGAAATAGTTATAAGTTCTGTAACAGGAAAACGACAAAAATCAACAGCACAGAAAATGATTTTTTGATATAATATTAGTGATAGATCATGCATAGGTGATCTTCACTTCGTTTTTATGATTTAATATCCTTCTTATTATTAATAGATTAAATGTTATTAATAGTATGTGAACATGTTGGACATATAAGTTGAAAGGTGCTTAAGCATCCACGAACTTTGCTCTCCAGCGACAACTCCGACACAGAACTCGTCCGAGAACTAGACCGGCTGGAGTCGTGGGGAACCCAGAAATCCGCCAAGAACAGGTCAATGGCGAGATCGGCAGAGTCTGACGACGACCCTCAAGTCGTCTCTGCCAGGGGACCTTCGAATGACCTTTGGCTGGAGTTCTACGTGAAGAGCAAAAACCGGTGGACGTGTAAGCCTGAGGACGGAACTGCACAGTGCATATGCAGCACAATCGATAAAAATCCCACGCGAGATAAATTATGAAGAAATACGCACGGATGGTTAAAATAACTGCTCTGTTTAAGTGAGGAATTTCGAATGCTTTCAGCAAGAGTCAGTGTAACCACAAAATCATTACCTACTACTCTTCTAGGTTTCGACTGCATTACGGGATCCATTGATGATCCCAGGGATTTGGAGAGACGGGCATCCCAGCCGATTCACTACGTGGTGGGCATTGACAATGGTACGTTCTCCAAGAAATAATTATATTTAGGTTATTATATAATTATTATTATTATTATTATCATATTATTACATATAATATAATCTAATATTATATTATTATTTATTATAATACTTGTCACTAATGTTTGTGTTGTGTTGTTATATTATTTGACAGTGTTCTCATTGTATTATATAATTACCATGATTAAATTGGAAGTGAATGCGTCAACTATCCTGCTGTGCTTTTCCCTAGCTAATATGGTGTAGATTTACCTTTCCAAGGTTGTGCTACCAAAACGAGGTTACATGCCCGAGATTTATTTTTAATATAATTTGATATATTTATTCGTGCACAGATAACTGCACCAAGGACTTAACGCCGCGCTACGCGTCTGATTGGATGACGAACGCACGACGATTCCGCACGGACGGGGACTGGTGGGCGGACACGCTGGCAACGCGCCAGTGCCAGGACCTACTTAGGGACAAGGAGGAGGACTTGCAACTGAAAGGTTTCTTCTGATCAGACGTATTTTATAAGATTTTATTTTATAAATTTTTTATGCATTTATTCTTTTTGATACAATTGCATTTTTCATCGCGTTTTAGGGTAAGTTTCTTCTGATCATTGCTTACATGTTCCTGATTGTATGCACCATGTCCAGGGCCTTGCTAGTGATAGGGCTTGAGATAGGGCTAGGGCTATGGTTAGGGTGAGGGCAGGGACATATAGATCAATATGTATAACATGGTATAAGTGTGAACGCAACCTGAGCAGGCAACTAACACAGTACTGACAGCACTGCTATGTCTGCAATCGTTTTAGGCAAATACCGCTAATAGTTTCTACTCATCGTACAACTCTCGGTTCGACTTCTGTTCTACACAGACGATATGCTGGCCATGCCGCTGCCATCATCCGTCTCGGAGTTCAAAGGTCACCCGCTCTATGCCCTACGGAGACACCTGCTGAAGTTTGAAGCGATTTACCCACCTACAGCCCAGCCTCTCGGTATCATCCGCGGAGAGCCTGTCTATGCCAGGTACGTATTCATCCAGGCTGACAATGGCTTGATGAGGACTGTAAGTTCTATACTAGCGATTCATATCCAATCTGATATGCTGCTACTGTGATGTTGTGCCGTAGCAACAAACAAATTAACCTACTAAATTTCTGACAAGTAATTAACATACTAAATATAAATGGTATAATGTTTATAGGTATAGATATAAATAAATGCATATGATATACTATGTATGTAATAAATTACTCAGTAGGTAATGTATTTAGTAACATATAGCAGGTGATATGTCAAGTATCACCATGCATACTAGTACAGTCAAGCCTCCGGTTATCCGAACATAAATTATCCGAATTTCGGATTATTCGAACAAGATCTCAAGATTCCGTGAATAATACCCAATATCTATGATCAGATCAGTTATCCGAACAATCAGTTATCCGAACAAAATACTCCCCGCCCGTCTCGTTCAGCTAATCGAGGTTTAACTGTATACGGGATGCAAGTTAGGCAGCATAGTTG